TATGTATGTATGTATGTATGTGAATTATGTGTGTATATATATATATATGTGTGTATACACTCCACCTGAAGCCTGGAAACCTACTCAGATGGTCATGGTACGCGACTACGGTCGTGGGGACTTGGCCCAGCCACTTGTCCTTAAAGTTGGACACAAGTTACAGGTGGCTCCTGATTTGTTGGCCCTGCGTTCATAATAAAAGATTATGAGAGCCACCTAGTTTTACTGTTGTTGCACTGTCCGGGGCGCATCGTCGAATCGTCAAGGCCTTCGGCTCTTTATGCTTAGCTTGTTGTCCGACCTGTAGGTACGACAGGTCAAAGTTCAGTGCCTGAGAAGCCGCACAAGTTAGTTTCAGCTCCGGAGCGTCTTCACAATCTCTCCTGTGATGGCAGGCTTTGCTTCGGAGTCCTTTGATGTATACTCCGGCACACAACGGGCCATCCCGCACAATAAGGCATTGTAGCAGCTATTGTAGCAGATTCTAGTCGAATGTCCAATCATGTTCTCCTGAGAGCACTACATGGTTCGGGGCTCCGAAGGCATGTCTCGCAACAGCCCGAGATTCTCTTCCCTAAGCCCTAAACCCTAAACCCTAAACCCTAAACCCTAAACCCTAAACCCTAAACCGATTCCGTTAGCAGCTGGAAGCCCCTGGCGCTAAACTTGAGTCGCTTCGAGTCAACTCAATCCGTTTAGGCTGAGATTTGGCACGGGGCATTGGTTGGGCGGCGACCGCTACGTGCGTGGAGACGGTGCAAGTCCCGGAGATACGGTTAAGGGTGTAGGGTTTTGGGTTTAGGGTGGCGGATGGTATCCGGATTTATCCGGATCCACTCATGCATGCATGCATGCATGCACATATCTGTGGGTGCTGGTGCGTGGTTGTGTGTGTATGGGCTCACTAGATGAGTTCAAGTTTCACAATTCGTTGAATATTTAAGTGGCCTGCCATCTTCCCGTTGTTTCAACCTTCCAAGCCCAAAAAGCTGAACACATTTACACATCTGAGCAACGCTCCTGTGTTTCCGGCTTCGATCTCGATTATGGGGGCTTAGAGTATGGTGCTGGAGCCTTGAGCAATGATTGTCCATCTCGGCTTGTTTCATGAGCCGTTGAGCCTGAAAATACCGACAATGAGTTCAGCGTCGATGACGCCGGCGAGCACGAGACTTGCCATCCCAAATCCGCAGGGTTCGTTTCTGTAACATGTCGTATGGCGAGATTAGAGGCTGCAAGATTGTGCTGCGGCCAGTCTTCAGATCCACTAAGCGAACTGAAAAGCCCTGAACAAGTCGAAAACGTGTCTTCAATAGTTAACAGTCTTATGACACGGGTGCCTGCTTAGATCTGTGCTAGATGCTCGGAGCCCACATGCAAATCTCTCAGCATCTGTAAACCCCAACCGACGTGTTTACGGAGCCAGGAACTTTGGCGGTGTTTCTGACGACAGCAGGCGCTGGCCAGGGTTGACTGAAGGCTTACATGGATTGTAACACCATCCATTTGGTTACTTTGTTCTCCTGCTTCGGGATCCTGACTGCAGAGCCGAGGCAGCTGTCCCGCAAAGGGTACTACAGCTCAGGAGCTAGAGGAGCAACGTGTAACCATCATGGGAGGCATCGCAGGCTCTGAGTCAGTTTGGGAGCCCACGGGGTTTGTACTGTATGGGATTGAGAAGTCATGTTTTGAGGCAGCAATCAACTCGATTGTCTGTTTGTGCACATGCTGACACAAAGCACAAAGTAGTTGTCAGCTTCTGGTTCTAAACATGCATGACCCTAAACCCTAAACCCTAAACCCTAAATGATCCCCGCCCATGCCACAGCCAAGCTTCGTCAGTTCTACGCCGCCGAAGTTTGCAACTTAAGGTCCCTCGTTACGAAGTTCCGAAGAGTTTCTTGTACATGGGTAGTTTTCAAAATTGGGGTCCCTTTGAGGGTCCTGTTTTTTTATAAGGGTACCGTACTATATTGGGCACCTAAAAGGGGACCTACATTTAGAGAACTACCCACATGCTTGGGCCCGGAGCATCCAGGAGCGGAGCCTGGCCATTGGAGGAATGACTCCCCTTAAAAGGGATTAGGGTTTAGGGTTTATACGGTTCAGGGTTCAGGGTTTAAGAGTTTAGGGTTCAGAAGTTTAGGGTTTAGGGTTTAGGGTTCAGGGTCTACGAGCCCTAAACCAGTGGGGGAGATGTAACGCGAGGCTTGGCGGAGGTCTTCGAAGCCGAGGGTTTCGAAACGCCGTCGCCCTGGAGCTGTCGCGTTTGTGAGTTCAGAGCTTTAAAGTGGTTGGGCCTTCGAGGTTGGTTAAGGGTTTAGGGTTTAGGGTTAAGGGTTTAGGGTTTAGGGTTTAGGGTTAGGGGTTAAGGGTTAAGGGTTAGGGTTTAGGGTTAAGGGTTTAGGGTTAAGGGTTAAGGGTTGAGGGTTAAGGGTTGGGGTCGTACAGACAGGCCATGATCAAGGTTGTTAGGCATGTGCACTCGCAGCCTCAGTCATGGCATGTGTGGTATTTACACACTTGGGGCACCTGGTCTCTTTTAAGTAGACCAAGTCTGGATGCAGACGACCACAACCGGAACGGCGTTATTCAGGATGCAGGCAGTGGCAGTGTTCAGCAACTAATTGGTCCGTTATGCCGGGCGACTGGATAACGTGTCGATGTAGATGGGCATATCTGACAGCACGATGTTCATGACTGGGGATGCGGCGATGCAGCTTCGCATGTTTTGTTGAACCCTGGGTCATGGCACACAGAGTGTCCACTAACTTGAGGCACCTTGTCAACATCACTGGACAACGTGTCGATGCAGATGGATATATCTGACATCACGATGTTCATGACTGGGGATGCGGCCATGCAGCTTCGCATGTTGTGTTGAAC